ATGCTGTTTATAGCACCACAGAGTTACAAAGCAGGGCCGCTGAGTACACATACAGAAGAATGCTTTTCTATCCTCCCTGAATAATCAGATGTCAACTGCCTAATGAAATCCTCTATCATAAAGAAACAGAACATCATTTCGCTGAATGTAAACCACTGGAGGTGATTTCCGTGCAGAAAGGCTCTCCCTCCATTATGTTTCCTCACACTGTCCCCTTTCAAAGAGCTTGAAGACTGGAAACATTCACAGAGAGGGCTGAGTGAGTAAGTCTCTTCCGCAAAATATTCTAGCTAAGTGGAGCCTCCATATTCAGAGACCCTATCCCCCTGAAGCAGTGCTTACGGAGGTTAGTTTCTCAAGGGCAGAAGGCACCCAACAAGGAAGAACTCTCCCCTCCAAAATATACTTTCCCAGGCTCTGCTCTCATGCTCCTTCTACACTACTAGATAAAATCCAGATTATCTGTTTTGAACTGGATTATATAGCAGTGTAAACTCATATAATCCAGTTCAAAGCAGATATTATGGATTATCTACTTTGATAATCTGGACTATATGGCAGTGTAGAAGGAGTCTATGGAGATAATAGAAGCACTGGGTTGTTGTAGGTTTTTTTGGGCTATATGGCCATGTTCTAGAAGCATTCTCTCCTGACATTTCGCCGCCATCTATGGCAAGCATCCTCAGAGGTTGTGAGGTCCTCACCGGGATTGTGGCGCAGCTGGCTGAGTGTCAGCTGCATTAAGATCACTCTGACCCAAAAGGTCATGAGTTCGAAGCCAGCCCGGGTTGGAGTGGGTTTCCAACCAATTGTGTGTAGCCTGTTGTCGACCTTTGCAACCCGAAAGACAGCTGCATCTGTAAAGTAGGAAAATTAGGTACCACCTTAAAGTGTGGGGAGGCTAAATTAACTGATTTATGAGGCCATAAAGAAGACTCCAGCAAAGCATTCCAGCAGGGAAACATGCGGGGAATGCGGAAGTGCTTCATCAGTGTCGCAGATGGACGATGAAAGCAACAGCTCCCCTGGCGGCCAGAAAAAGTTAAAAAATAGCCTCTGTGTATGTCTGTATATGTTTGTATGTCAGAAATTGGCATTAAATGTTTGCCATATATGTGTATACTGTAATCCGTCTTGAGTCCCCTGCAGGGTGAAAAGGCACACTGGAACATATCTCTCTGTGTGAATCATATCTATCTATCTATATCTATGGCTGGGTGGCTCTTTGTCAGGAGGGCTTTGATTACATTTTCTTGCCCTGGTGAAGGGAGTTGGACTGGATGGCCTTAAGTATTTTCTGTTGGTCATCGAGGTTCTGTGTGGGATGTTTGCCCCAGTTCTGTTGTTGGTGGGGTTCAGAATGCTGTTTGATTGTAGGTGAACTATAAATCCCAGTCACTACAAATCCCAAAGGTTAAGGTCTATTTCCCCCAAACTCCATCTGTGTTCATATTGGGGCATATGGAGTATTTGTGCCGTGTTTGGTCCAAATCCTTCATACTTTGAGTCCACAGTGCTCTCTGGATGTAGGTGAACTACAACTCCCAAACTCAAGGTCAATGCCCACCAAACCCTTCAAAGTGTTGATCATGGTCATGGGAGTCCAGTGTACCACATTTGGTTCAATTCCATCATTGGTGGAGTTCAGAATGCTCTTTGATTGTAGGTGAACAATCCCACCAACTACAACTCCCAAATGACAAAATAATTCTTTTTGCATGATGGTCACTCCTTGGGTTAATATTTATTTATTTTATTATTTGCTTTATTTCTATATCGCATATTTCAGCCCAGACAGGCGACTCAATGCGGTTTACATGGTACAAATTATCAACAATGTCAGTGCAATTAAAACGCAACAAGTGCGACAAACAGGATCAACAACATCAATCCACAACAGTTAACAAATCAGAACAAGACAGTCAACAAACACAACATAACGCCTCAGTGAAATCAGATCCGTTCTCATAATCCTTGTGCCATTCCTATGTTCCATTTACCGTCTTCCTTTGGTTGGTTGCACTGCTCAACCAAACGCTTGTTCATAAAGCCAGGTCTTAACCTTTCTCCGAAACGCCAGCAATGAAGGTGCCTGTCTGATGTCTGCCGGTAAGGCATTCCATAGCCGAGGGGCCACCACCGAGAAGGCCCTGTCTCTTGTCCCAGCCAAGCGTGCCTGTGACGCAGGCGGGACCGAGAGCAGGGCCTCCCCAGACGATCTTAATGTTCTAGTCGGTTCATAGGTGGAGATGCGTTCGGAGAGGTAAGTGGGGCCAGAACCGTTTAGGGCTTTATAGGCTAAAGCCAGCACCTTGAATTGTGCTCGGTAGCGAATTGGCAGCCAGTGGAGCTGGCTCAACAGAGGAGTGGTATGCTCCCTGAGTGCCGCTCCCGTTAGCAACCTGGCTGCCGAGCACTGGACCATCTGAAGCTTCCGGGCAGTCTTCAAGGGCAACCCCACGTAGAGCGCGTTGCAGTAATCAATCCGGGATGTAACCAGAGCGTGGACTACCGTGGCCAAGTCACGGTAGTAGGTGTCTTGTGGCCAAATTTGGAGGCAATTCATCCAGTTTTTGAGGTATGTTAATCTCACAAATGAACGTTACATTTTTATTTATATAGATTGCGATTTTTTTTTGGAGTGGACAAAAGGACCCCAGCCGCTGCAGTAAGAGCAGCCCCAGGAGTATATACAGTTGATGGTTTATCCAAAATTAGGCATACAACTACTGGGTAAAATTGACAACTACTGGGTAAAATTGAACACCATGGCAAATGTAAGACTGCCAAAACTGTTCCTGTCAGAGCAGACAAAAATATCAGACCTCTTAGAATCATTGAGTTGGAAGAGACCTCATGGGCCATCCAGTCCAACCCCCTGCCAAGAAGCAGGAATATTGCAAAGCTGGGGTGAAAATTGCTGGAAGAAACATTAACAACCTCAGATATGCAGATGACACCACTCTGATGGCTGAAAGCGAGGAGGAGCTGAGGAGCCTTCTAATCAAGGTGAAAGAAGGAAGCGCAAAAGCTGGGTTGCAGCTAAACGTCAAAAAAACCAAGATTATGGCAACAAGAATGATTGACAACTGGAAAATAGAGGGAGAAAATGTGGGTAAGAACAACTGTTCCTGAAGGCCACGCCCCCAGCGACCTCCAAGGAGAGCTGTGCTTGGCCATGCCCACCTCTCCCTTCTGTAGAGATCTCTGGTTTTTATGATGGATTTGGCTAAGCAAAGGACTAAAGCAGGGGTCCTCAAACTTTTTAAACAGAGGGCCAGGTCACAGTCCCTCGAGCTGTTGGGAGGGCCGGATTATGATTTGAAAAAAATATGAATCAATTCTTATGCATACTGCACATATCTTATTTGTAGTGCAAGAAACACTTAACAATACAATAATTAAAATAAAGGACAATTTGAACAAATATAAACTTATTAGTATTTCAATGGGAAGTGTGGACCTGCTTTTGAGATAGGGTTGTTGTTGGTTTGTTGTAGGTTTTTTCGGGCTGTATGGCCATGGTCTAGAGCAGGGGTCCTCAAACTAAGGCCCGTGGGCCGGATATGGCCCTCCAAGGTCATTTACCCGGCCCTCACTCAGGGTCAACCTAAGTCTGAAACGACTTGAAAGCACACAACAAATAACAACAATCCTATCTCATCAGCCAAAAGCAGGCCCACACTTCCCATTGAAATACTAATAAACTTATATTTGTTAAAATTGTTCTTCATTTTAATTATTGTATTGTTTTTAAAGTGTTTTTTGCACTACAAATAAGTTAAGTGCAGTGTGCATAGGAATTCATTCATGCTTTTTCAAATTATAATCTGGCCCTCCAACAGTTTGAGGGACTTTGACCTGGCCCTCTGTTTAAAAAGTTTGAGGACCCATGGTCCAGAGGCATTCTCTCCTGACGTTTCAAGTCGTTTCAGACTTAGGTTGACCCTGAGTGAGGGCCGGGCCAATGACCTTGGAGGGCCGTATCTGGCCCCCAGGACTTAGATTGAGGACCCCTGGACTAAAGTGTTGATTCTCCCCAGAAAGAAAATAAAGACAGTTTGGCAATTTGATCATAGAATCATAGAATCAAAGAGGGAGGACTCAGGGCGGCTTACAAAAAAGGCACAATTTGATGCCTATACAAATTACACATAATATCCAAAACCATAGTTAAAAGCAATTATCACAGTTAAAACAATCAAACAACCAGTACATAACACATCATATAAAACTATTCTCGCGCTCAGCGTTTCGCCTTTCACAGTTCCATAGTTCTAATCCATTAATCATTTCCTAATCATTGTCAAAGTTCTTTCTTTATCTGCCCAATTGTCCAAATGCCTGGTCCCAAATCCATGTTTTCAGTTTTTTCCTAAAGGAAAGGAGCGATGTTGCAGATCTAATTTCCCCGGGGAGTGAATTCCACAGGCGGGGGGCCACCACCAAGAAGGCCCTGCTCATGGGCCATCCAGTCCAACCCCCTGCCAAGAAGCAGGAATATTGCATTCCAATCACCCCTGACAGATGGCCATCCAGCCTCTGTTTAAAAGCTTCCAAAGAAGGAGCCTCCACCACACTCCGGGGCAGAGAATTCCACTGCTGAACGACTCTCACAGTCAGGAAGTTCTTCCTCGTGTTCAGATGGGATCCCAGTTGGAGAGGCTGTCAATACTGGGATCTCACCTTGGCATACAGACAGCAATCAGACACAATATATGGTACAGGAATCAAATATATTACACAGCAATCAAACACAATAGGAGGCAGCCAATGGGTTGTTTTTTTTGGGGGGGGGAGTTAGGCCCACTACCATCAGGGCTGCAAAGACAGGGAAGGAGATTCCACCTGAACATTAGGAAAATGTCCTGACTGTAAGAGCTGTTCAGCAGTGGAGATCTCTGCTTGGGAGTCTGGTGAAGGATCCTTCTTTGGAGGCTTTGAAACCGGGTGGCCATCTGTCGGGAGTGCTTGGACTGTGCCTGGCAGAGTGGGCTCACCTGACCAAGGGCTCCTTCTCCGGGAGCGCGGCCGCCCTCTCGCGCCGGCAGCATCCGCACGCGCAGCACCAGGCGCCCAGCCAATCACTGAGCCCCATCGAAGCAGGAAGGAAGAAGGAAGGGGCAGAGGGGACCCTACCAGGAGGACCCTCCGCCCCGCATCCTGGCATCCAGCTCCCTTCTTTTCCCACGCTGCGGTGTGCCAGGAGCCCGCTTGACGCATGCGCAGCGGATCCCCATGCCCGCAGCGGAGTGTCTCGAGCAGCTCTCGGGTGCCACCTACTGGAGAAGGACGGCACAGCACCCTGAGACTGGGAACCATTCAAGGGTTGTCGTCACGCCAGGAGGGCGCCCCTGAGTCCAAAGCAGGAGGATGATGCTCTGGGGGTGACGTCATCATCCTGCCACTAGGCGTTTGGGGAGAGGCGTCAGGCCTGGCTCCTGGGAGCATGGATTGATTTATTGTACATAAATATTGTTTATTATAAATGTATTAAGAAACCTAGCATGGATCCTATGACCCTTGCCAATTACCGTCCTGTTTCTAATCTGCCATTCTTAGGCAAGGTGATAGAGCGAGCTGTACTGGGACAATTGCAGCAATTCCTGGATGACACAGCTGGCCTGGACCCTTTCCAGTCAGGTTTTTGCCCAGGTCATGGGACGGAGACAGTCCTGGTTGCCATTACAGATGAACTCCGTCGCCAGTCTGACAACGGTTGATCCACGCTACTGGTACTTCTCGACCTTACCGCAGCGTTTGACACCATCGACTACGATCTAATGATTCACCGTCTTGCCATGTCTGGAGTTCGTGGTCAGGCCCTCAATTGGTTTAACTCATTTCTCCGGAACCGGAGTCAACGCGTGGAGTACATGGATCAAGTCTCCAATAGATCCACCCTCCTATGTGGGGTCCCCCAAGGTGCAATTATCTCTCCTCTTCTCTTCAACATCTACGTTAGACCCCTTGCTAATTTGGCTCGGAGTTTCAGCCTGGACTGCTACCAATATGCAGATGATACCCAACTTCTTCTGCGTCTGGAACCTGGAGCAACGTCAATTCCAGACAATTTCACCCTATGTCTGGAAGCTCTGTCAAACTGGCTAGGTGCTAGCAGACTGAAGGTGAACCCGGCGAAGACTGAGATTCTCTGGCATGGCCGCCCAGCAGGTCTGACTCCTCCATTACCCACCTTCGATGATGCCGCCCTATCTCCATCGACCACTGTTAAGAGCTTAGGTGTCGTCCTGGATTCGCAGCTGACAATGGAAGCTCAGGTCGCTGCTGCCAGCAAACTGGCCTTTTTCCATCTCCGACAAGCGAGGCAACTGGCACCCTACCTATCTGACGAGGCTCTGGCAACTGTCATCCATGCCACGGTCACGCCTAGGCTGGACTATTGCAACGCCCTGTATGTGGGCCTTCCTATGTCTATGACCCAAAAGCTCCGTATTGTTCAGAATGCGGCAGCCAGGTTACTCACAAGAACACCCATGAAATGCCATATAACACCAGTGCTGCAACATTTACATCGGCTTCCAGCTGAGTACCGTGGCCTGTATAAGATGTTAGTTCTGGCCTTTAAAATTCTTTACGGCCAGGGTCCATCATACCTTAGGGACCGCCTCTCCTTCTCCCATCATCGGAGGTCGCAACGACCAGCCCAACGTGATTTACTCCATATACCGGGTCCTAGAGAAGTGCACTTGGAAAGGACCAGATGCAGGTGGGCTTTTTCTATTTCTGCCCCTGCCTTGTGGAATTCTTTGCCGACCTACATGAGAGCCATGTGTGACTTAGGGCCTTTTACTCTCGCACTTAAGACGTGGCTTTTTACTAGAGCATTCGATCTCTGTCAATTTTTAATTTTTGTATGTATGTATTTTATCTTTTATAATTTAACTAAATCGCCTAGAGCAATCTCGGATGGAGGGCGATTAATAAGTTATTAAATGATGATGATGATATATAACTATACCACACATGCAATTATTTCATGATACATAAGGACAATAATCAAATGAATAAATACAACAAAACGTCTCACAACACAAGGAGTGACCATCACTCAAAAATTATGATTTTTGTCATTTCAGAGTTGTAGTTGCTGGGATTTATAGTTCATCTACAATCAAAGAGCATTCTGAACTCCATCAACGATGGAATTGAACCAAACTTGGCACACAGAACTCCCATGACCAACAGAAAATACTGGAAGGGTTTGGTGGACATTGACCTTGAGTTTAGGAGTTGTAGTTCACCTACATCCAGAGAGCACTGTGGACTCAAAGAATGATGGATCTGGACCAAACTTGGCACAAGCACTCAATACGCCAGAATATGAACACAGATGGAGTTTGGGGGAAATAGACCTTGACATTTGAGAGTTGAAGTCACTGGGATTCACAGTTCACCTACAATCAAAGAGCGTTCTGAACTCCACAAACGACAGAATCAGGGCAAACTTCCCACACTGAACCCCCATGGCCAACAGAAGATACTTAAGGCCATCCAATCCAACTCCCTTCATCAGGGCAAGAAAACGTAATCAAAGTCCACCTGACAAAGAGCCATCCACCATAGATAGAGAGAGATAGATAGATAGATATGATTCACACACAGATAGATATAGTATTATATATTTGAAAGGGACCCTAAAGAAGGACAATGATATCTTGCATGTTCCAGGGTGGGCAAACCAGACACTCTCCACATCAACACTGACAGACAAACAAACAGCAAGAAAAACTTTTACCCACAAGCATACAGAAATTACATATATTAGAAACCAACACTTTCTCATTATTTTATTTTCCAGATCAATAGACTGGGCCACAGCAACGCGTGGCAGGGGACAGCTAGTCAATAATATATTTATATTTGGTCTAGATGTATACTGTACATAGTGTTAATATTGTGTATTTTGAAAAGGCTAATTGAGTGATCAATAAAAATAATTTTCTTTACAATAATAATCATCATCATCATCATTCGAAAATACATCACACAGTCCTAGACGCTTGGGATGTGTTTGACTTGTGATTTTGATCACCTTGATTAACATTTGATTGCCTGGCAGTGCCTGGAGCAATCTTTTGTTGAGAAGTAATTAGATGTCCCTGTTTGTTTCCTCTCTGTTGTTGTGCTGTTCTAATTTTACAGTTTTTTAATGCTGGTAGCCAGATATTGTTGATTTTCATGGTTTCCTCCTTTCTGTTGAAATTGTCCACATGCTTGTGGATTTCAATGGCTTCTCTGTGTAGTCTGACATGGTGGTTGTTGGAGTGGTCCAGCATTTCTGTGTTCTCAAATAATATGCGCCATGTCCAGGTTGGTTCATCAGGTGCTCTGCTATATCTGACTTCTCTGGTTGAAGTAGTCTGCAGTGCCTTTCATGTTCCTTGATTCGTGTTTGGGCAGTGCTGCGTTTGGTGGTTCCTATGTAGACTTGTCCAAATCTGCATGGTATATGGTAGACTCCTGCAGAAGTGAGAGGATTCCTCTTGTCCTTTGCTGAACGTAGCATTTGTTGGATTTTCTTGGTCATTCCACAGATATATAAACCCTTTTTCCTAGTTCCAACAGACCTCACTACCTTTGAGGATGCTTGCCATAGATGCAGGCGAAACGTCAGAGAAAATGCCTTTAGAACATGGCCATATATCCCGAAAAAACCTACAACAACCCACATTATCTGTTGAGAACTGAAATATATGGCAGAGTCAGTGTGGACTCAGATAACCAGTTCAAAGTAGATATTGTGGGCAGGGCTGTAGCCAGAAAAAAAATTCGGGAGGGATTGACATTTCGGGGGGGGGGGGGGGGTTGAAACCTGCCTCCTAGCTCACGCTGAAGCAAAGAGCACAGCAGGGCAGAGCAGCCTTCAATAGCCTGCAGCTCCGGCCCTGTCAACCACCTCCACCAAGTCTGGCCTCCTTAATGAGAGCATTCAACACACCCCCCCCCCAACTTGGTTGCTTCACTACATCGGCTATTGCTGCAAGTAATGACAGTGTGAATAAATTGTCAATATTTGCCTGAGATAGTGCTTGCCATTCTGGAGGGACTCTTAATTTTTTGCATCTCATAGACTTAGTATAGGGATTTGGTTAAAGGTAAAGGTAGTCCCCTGACATTAAGTCCAGTCATGTCTGACTCTGGGGTGTGGTGCTCATCTCCATTTCTAAGCCAAAGAGCCGGCGTTGTCCATAGACACCTCCAAGGTCATGTAGCCGGCATGACTACATGGAGTGCCGTTACCTTCCCGCCAGAGTGGTACCTATTGATCTATTCACATTTGCATGTTTTCAAACTGCTAGGTTAGCAGAAGCTAGGGCTGACAGCGGAAGCTTACGCCACTCCCTGGAATCGAACCTGCGACCTTTTGGTCAACACAAGCTCAGCAGCTCAGTGCTTTAACCCACTGCGCCACCGGGGCCCCCTGCAGTTCTGGAGGGACTCTTAATTTTTTGCATCTCATAGACTTAGCATGGGGATTTGGTTAACCAGTTAAAATTCATGAGTAAACCAGGTTTTTTAAAATAATCTGAAACATTTCGGGGGGGGGGGGTTGAACCCCTAACCCCCCCCCCCCCTCGCTACAGGCCTGATTGTGGGTTATTCTGCTTTGATATTCTGGGTTATATAGTTGTGTGGAAGAGCCCAAAAAGACACTCGATGCATTCCTCTTATTCTCCTCCCTCCCTGCGGCTCAACTTCACTTCCGCCCAAACGTTGCCCTTCCTCTCCCTGGGCACGCTTTAGGCCACTGCGCACGCGTACAGTCCTCCCTCAACCCGCCTGCCCCCTCCTCCTCGCGAGAGTGTCATAAAGATCGCCTCCTCGTCGAGAAGTGCATGTTTGTTTGTCCGATAGCCCCTCCCCTCCCTTTCTACTTCCGGTTGGGAGAGGGCGGGGCTTCTGGTGGAGAAGGGGAGGAAGCTGGCGCCCGCCGGGGATGGTTCTGGCCGCGGTTTCTACTGTGCGGCCCGCGACTTGACGGCGTCGCCAGGTGAGACTAGAAGGAGGGATGGGAATTGTCCCGTGCGGCGCTCCGTAGAGCTCGCGCTCGCTGAGGAGAAATGGGGGGCGCCGTTAAGCGAGCCCTGCTCTTACCTCCTTACCTCCCTCCCTCCCTCGCGCCAGGTGAGGCTCCTCCTCCTCTCCCCCCCGCCCGCGGGGTGTGGACGTCCCCTCACAGCAAGGAGCCTGCCTAGAAGTGCTGTGGAGGGGAAGAAGGCCCTTGCCCTTCCCCGGCCCATTGAACAGGCTCTTCTCCATTTCCCTCCCCATGGAACCAGAGCAGAGGTTACTCCAGGGCTCATTGGCAGCTTCTAGTGGCGCTGAAGGCTCCTTCTTTGGAAGCTTTTAAACAGAGGCTGGATGGCCATCTGTCGGGTGATTTGAATGCAACATTCCTGCTTCTTGGCAGGGGGTTGGACTGGATGGCCCATGAGGTCTCTTCCAACTCTTTGATTCTATGATTCTATTCTATGACGGGGGCTCTGACCCGCTCAAACACACACACGCACTGCTTTTGTGAAGAAGGCCTATGCAGCTGCTGCCACAACTAATGAAGAAAGGACAATATTTCAAAACAAGAGACGAAACAGATTGGAAATATATTATTATGATTGAGAATTTTTCTTGGAGTGGACAAGAAAAAAGCCGCTGCAGTAAGAGCAGAATCAGGAGTATATACAGATGATGCTTTGTCCAAATTTAGGCATACAACTACTGGGTAAAATTAAACGCCATGACAAATGTCAGACTACCAAAACTGTGCCTGTTAGAGCAGACAAAAAGTAAATATCAGGCCTCTTTGGCTTGTTCAATTGTCAACATTCATTAGGAGTTGTGTGCACACAGAAATCAAGTATTCCCCTGTCATATCATGTGGTATTGCTTAGAACTGAAAATCACAGTAGTAAAACCTAGAACTAGTTAAAACTACTATTTTGTAAGGTTAGGGAAGCAGCAAGTATATATACCGGTGATTTAAAAGCATACACACAGATGGAAATATATTTGCGGATAGAGAAAACTTCCCAAAAGTATAGAGCCACTCTAGTTGCAGGCATATATATACTTAGAATCATAGAATCAAAGAGTTGGAAGAGACCTCATGGGCCATCCAGTCCCACCCCCTGCCAAGAAGCAGGAATATTGCATTCAAATCACCCCTGACAGATGGCCATCCAGCCTCTGTTTAAAAGCTTCCAAAGAAGGAGCCTCCACCACACTCCGGGGCAGAGAGTTCCACTGCTGAACGGCTCTCACGGTCAGGAAGTTCTTCCTCATGTTCAGATGGAATCTCCTCTCTTGTAGTTTGAAGCCATTGTTCCGCGTCCTAGTCTCCAAGGAAGCAGAAAGCAAGCTTGCTCCCTCCTCCTTGTGGCTTCCTCTCACATATTTATACATGGCTATCATATCTCCTCTCAGCCTTCTCTTCTTCAGGCTAAACATGCCCAGCTCCTTAAGCCGCTCCTCATAGGGCTTGTTTTCCAGACCCTTGATCATTTTAGTCACCCTTCTCTGGACACATTCCAACTTGTTAATATCTCTCTTGAATTGTGGTGCCCAGAATTGGACACAATAATCCAGGTGTGGTCTAACCAAAGCAGAATAGAGGGGTAGCATGACTTCCCTAGATCTAGACACTATGCTCCTATTGATGCAGGCCAAAATCCCATTGGCTTTTTTTGCCGCCACATCACATTCCTGGCTCATGTTTAACTTGTTGTCCACGAGGACTCCAAGATCTTTTTCACACGTACTGCTCTCGAGCCAGGCATCGTCCCCCATTCTGTATCTTTGCATTTCGTTTTTTCTGCCTAAGTGGAGTATCTTGCATTTGTCCCTGTTGAACTTCATTTTGTTTTCAATCCTATATCCACAAACTTCCTTGAACAGTGTTTCTCAACCTGGGAGTTTGGACCCCTGGGGGGGGGGTCGTAAGAGGGTTTCAGAGGGGTCCACCAAAGTAATCTATGCCCACAAATACAACAGTATGTATAGGTCAATCTTCTATATAAATAAAAAATGTAATGTTCATTTGTGGGATTAACAGAACTCAAAAACCACTGGATGAATTGACACCTAATTTGGACACAACACACCTATCAGGCCAACGAGTGACCACCACTCATAAAAATATGGAAAAACACAGCAGAAAAGACTATAAAATCCAAAAAATACATTACAACGCTTGTGCAAAACCACATATATACACACACATAAAGAAAGAAAGAAAGAAAGAAAGAAAGAAAGAAAGAAAGAAAGAAAGGCAGAGAAAGAAGGGAGAGGAAATAAAAAAGTGAAAGAAGGAAGGAAAGAGAGAGAAGAAAGGAAAGATGGAACGAAAGAGGGAGGGAAGGAAGGAAAGAGACAAGGAAGGATGGAACCAAAGAGCAAAGGAAGCGAGGAAAGAAACAGGTAGAGAAGGAAGAAAGAAGAAGGAAAGGAGAAAGAGGGAGGGAAGGTTGGCCACAGCAACCCGTGGCAGGTACACCTAGTAATCAATAAACGGGTGCGAAATATAAACTTATATTGGGTAAACAAGTACAAATTTACAATTATAATGTTGATGCTGCATACATCAGAATGAGTAACAAACTAAATATAAATTTGCTGCTTGTGAAGTCAGTCCGTTGAACCAAAGTTTGTAGAGCACACGACCGGTTTCAACTTTTTTAGTCTTCCTCAGGCAGCTATGTTTAGGAATATTGTGATACATTTGCAGGAGCATATGCCATTTTCTTATAAATACGTTTCAATCAGGTATGAGTACTCACAATTATACATTTCTGTAACAGTCGCTTAATAGTTCTCTCCCTATATCTTTTTTCTTTATTTCTTTTTAAAAATTATATCAAAGGAGGGTACCTCTTGGCTTGTTCAATTGACAAAACTCATTAGGAGTTGTAGACTTCTGATCCAAAAACCTCCTAGAACAATGTTTCTCAGCCTGGGGGGGGGGGGGTCGTAAGAGGGGTTCAGAAGGGTCGCCAAAGACCAAATCCTCCACCAAAAACCGTCCTCCCCTGTGATTGGTTGGGCTATCAGCAAAGGAGAGGGCTGTTTCTGAGACTCCAAATGGGGAGGGGAGAGCAGGCATGCTTGGCACATGGCAGCATGGTGCGCATGTGCAGGTGAGGGAGAACGTGCAAGACTGAAGGGAGGCTTGTGCCAGCGAGTCCCCTCAAGGCATGGGGGTTCTGTGTGGGAAGTTTGGCCCAATCTGTCATTGGTGGGGTTCAGGTTGCTTTTTGATTATAGGTGAACTAGAACTCCCAAATGACAAAATCAATCCCCCAACCCCACCAGTATTCAAATTTGGACATATCAGGTATTTGTTCCAAATTTGGTCTAGTGAATGAAAATGCATCCTACATATCAGATATTTACTTTACAATTCATAACAGTAGCGAAATTACAGTTATGAAGTAGCAACGAAAATAATTTTATGGTTGGAGGTCACCACAACTAGAGGAACTGTATTAAGGGGTCACAGCAGTAGGAAGGTTGGGAACCATTATCCTAGAAGAACTATTTCCTTTCCACACAACTGAATAAAATCCCATGTTATTTGCTTTGAACTGGAATATATTGGGATGTGAACCCAGTTAACCGAGGGCCCTTCCACATAGCCATATAATCCAGAATATCAAGGTAGGGAAGCTCCTTTTCATGAAACCTTATTTTATACTTGACCGTATTATTATTATTAACTTTATTTATACCCCACTCCCCCCCCCCCTTGGGGACTCAAGGCGGCTAACAATTCACACTAGACAAGTTTTAAAATTGCAATATATTTTTATTTTCATTTTACCATACTGTTACTATTTTAAAAACAATTAAATAGTAACAGTATGGTAAAACTAAAATTAAAATACAATAAATACACTAAAATGGCCTTTGAAACCAATACCCCCCAATTCCACCCAACTTCCCCAAAGCCCTACCCCTCTCTGTCTTTTGTCCCTCATCCTTTTTAGCAGCTACAGAAACAAGATTTTCTATGGCAGCTGCAGCAGCATAATCTGCAATAAACAATGTAAATCCTACTGTTGCAGTGCTTCCCCGCAACAGTCAGGGTAAACCACTGTTAACTTTAGAACCTCTCACTGAGCATATGTAAGCAGCAAAACGGGGAAATCGTTTCACTGCCTCATTGGCAGAAACAAAAATAAATCTCTAAATTAGGCCACCAAAGTGGAAATCATGAGAAAGGGGGAAGCTGGTGAAATAAAAAGTCACCCCTGGATGTATTTTGGAAGAAAAGTAATCTCCAGACCAGGCCTGCATAATCAGTGGCCTGGGACTTCAGTTCCTAGAATTCCTGACCATTGGACAAGCTGGCTAGAGCTTCTGGGAGCTGAGGTCCAAAACACCTGGAGCATCTCAAGGCCCCTCCACACAGCCACATAACCCATAATATCAAGGAAGATAATCCACAATATCTGCTTTGAACTGAGTTATCTGAGTCCACACTGCCATGCAGGCTTGTAGCCGGGGGGGGGGGGCCTTGGGGGGCTTCAGCCCCCCCCCCCAACCGAAATTCTCATGGTGGTCCACGAGAAGGCCTTACTGGTGCATTATTTAAACTGTTATGTTTATTCATATCATGATCTGATCACCATACTCAATATATCCCATATGCATGGGGGTATTGGGGTAATGATACAAAAGGTTTGCTAGGGTAGATCCTCTTTCGCTCAGACTCAGCCCCCCCTCCGAATAAAACTCAGCCGCCGCCCCCAAACAAAATCCTGGTTACGGGCCTGCTGCCATGTAATCCAGTTCAATGTTGATTTTATACAGCTGTGTGGAAGGGGCCTCCGTTTGTACAGGCCTTCTCTAAAAGGTTCAACATGTTTGTCTATTTATGCAAGACTTACCTACCTGAGCTCTGCGAGTGCAGCATTTTTCCGAATGAAGCAGAGAATGTTTGAGGACAGGGACATCCGTAGGGATACCAAGGTGCTTGTTTATAAAGTTATTGTCCTCTGGATGGTGCAGAGGAGCAAACCACAATTCTTTGATTGGGTTGCCTTGTTCCAGTTCCATAGGCAGGGCACATTGTGAAAGAATGCTTTCTGTATTGAAACAAGGGTTCTAAAAGAAGCAAGAATCTGGTAGTCTTATCTGAGATACCAGCTTCACAAATTCTTTCTCTGCAGATTTTAAATGATGTGCACTTTATAGGCCTCTGGTGAAATAGTCTGCTGTTGACTAATCTGTGTAAACATGGTACATGGGTGTTGAAATATATGTTGAGAACCACTTACTTGCAGAGTCTTTATTCATTCTTCTTTTCACCAGAAGGTAGGGATTAACATTCTTAAGACTGATTATGAAAAGAATCCATATAGTATATAGGCTCAGGGTACAGAAAATTCAAATTTTATTTCTAGCAAAGACCCAGGTTGAGACTGGGAAGAAAATCCTTGTGTGAGACCTTCAAGAGATGCTTCTAGTCAAAGTAGATAGCACTTGGTTATAAAGATCATTGGTCTGATTGCAGCTTCTGATTTTCACAACACTGGTTTGTGAAAAGTTATAATCCCCAAGTTTTTGAACCTATCACTATGCATGATATGTAAGAAAATGAGCATGTGAAAGAAATGTTTTCATTTAATTAGACCTTACATTTTGAAATAAAATATAGTTTAAAGTCATAAAATGACTTGTTTTATTTCTTTCTATTTTAGATTGAAGATAGCAGTAATGCTTACATTGGCAAGCAAACTAAAACGGGATGATGGTGTCAAGGGCCCGCGTACATCCAACCCAACCTCTGATTCTACCCGAAGAGTGTCGGTTAGAGATAAATTGCTTGTCAAAGGTAATACCATGTCATATATAAAGATAATCACATTATCTACCAGATGCAGTGGTCATAAGCAGATAGCTCTGAGGCAATGAAAACTTTGGAAATGTAACATTTCTACAAATTCACATATGAACTGATAAGCACAGCAGTTGTAAGCCAAGGCACCACCGTAACTACTATATACAAAAAGTCGTAGCTTTTTTATTTCCAATCTTTTTGTTTCGTTTTGTTTTTGTAGGTTACAGACCATCCTTTGGATATTGAAATGGCTTCATATGATGTCCCTCAATTATCCTAATGGATTGTTGAGCTTTATTAATACATTCGTTATCTCTAGCTAGGTGCTGAAATCAAATTGCATACTGCAGACAATACTGAGTATGCTGCGGTAATAAGGATTGGAGCATTTGGATCTTGTATGGAAACATTTTTAAATCCAGTTTCAGAATCTTCCGAAGTGATATTCTGGTGATGCCTGGTTGAGTAGAGCAATGATAGGTAGAGGAAGGTGGATCCTCAAGGAAACTTTGCCGTACAGCTCTCAGCATTGTGGCAGTGTGCACTGTGCACTTAGGACCTCTTCCTGGAAGATCGCCAATTGATCCAATTGTTTCAAATCGGGAGATTAGGTTCTGAATCATCTCTAGGAGATGCTCTGACATTAAAATGTTGCCGTTATTTTATCTGCGTTAGAATAAATTATCTTTAACAGGAGAATAGAAAAAATTCAATGAGTTTTAACCATTTCTCAAGAATATATGTAGCCATTTTTATCTCCAAGGAATGCTCTAATAACCTACAATGAGTTTTATTCATTGCTGGACATCATATGAGCTGTTTTAATCTCCAAGGATTGCTCTATAACCTACAAAAATGAAAAATGAAATAAAAATGAAAAAGCTACCGCTTTTCAACTCCTTCAGACTTTCAGCGGCCACCCTGTAGAAGTAGAAATTCCCAAGAAAATAGGACGCATTGTTAGGTGTGAATTAAAATAGCTTCATCCAAAAATGCTCTGTGGGAAATACAATTGATTTCTCTCTTCAAAAACTAAATACATTAGAATCACTGCCCCAGCTGTGAATTGCATTGAGTTTTAACTATAGTAGTGGTAGATAATTTTTCACTGTTTTTTCAGTTTAACAGCTGAGAGGGGAAACAAAAGGGCCTGAGGCTGTTAGGAATTGTGGGAGTTGAAGTCCAAAACACCTGGAGGGCCAAAGTTTGCCTATGGCTGCTCTAGAGCGTATTCAGTATTGAAATGCCGATAGAAGATTGTTTGGGCTGCAATTCATCTCAAAACAATGTCTTGTAAAATTGTTGATGTTGGAGCCCCCTTAATGTTACATTGTGAAGTGCAGCAACGCAAGTGCAACATGAGCTAGGAGCTGCACATTCACAAGTAAGAAGCGAGTATAAAAGATCAGTCATGTTAAAAACTTAAGTAAGAACCCTTTAGGGGTAATTAACCCCACTCAGGCTAGATAAAAGCATCCCCGGCACAGTCTACTGTGATGTCCACAATCAGTGTTGCCCTGATTTTATTTGCTGCCTGGGTAAAGAGAGAAGCCTTATAAGTGATTTCGGAGTTGGAATCGGATAATAGGTAGAAGATCTTTTCTGCAACCATGTTCGATTGTAGGTACCAAAGAATAGGCCCTAAGAATTTATTTCTTGGTACAGAGTATAGGGAGCAGCTGAACAAGTAGTGAGACAGATCCTCAATTTATGGGGTCCCGCAAACACATAACTGACAAGCCAAAGGAGTGCTTGAGTATCTACTTTCCAACACTACTGAGGGCATACTTTGGAATTGTAGGGTTGTAAAAGCTTGTCTGAGTTTAGGGAATGTAAGGTTGGTTAGGTACACGGCACTTTCATGGTCAGATTTGTACAACTTGAACCATGTTGAGAATTTGGAGCTGTTAATAGCCTGTCTGTCCATTTGAATGCCTTGACTATAAACGTATTCATGCAGCTTCTCTCTTGAGTTCAAGATCGAAGGCTTATGGGACAGGGTAGGGTATACTTCCAGAAATGTCTGATGTTTTGAGCTCCAGACTTCGCATTCTGATGAAAGTTCTGCTATAAAACAATAGATATGTTCCTAAAATGTTCATGCATTCTAAAGTTAATAGAACTTATGGAGAAAGCAAAACTATGTGCAGGTCTCAAAATTATTATCTGTTCATTTAACTTATCATAAATTCTTTCTGCTGAAAATTAAATTGACTGGATCTTGCAAGCTGTTCTGCCTGCCTGCATAGTTATTTGCTGTCCTCATTGCTGCAAGGACACAACACTTATGAGAAGCAGCAGCAAGGACAGATCTCCTCATATTGCAGGAATCAAATTGTGACTGGAGTGAAAATTCCCTGATTTTATGCATTCTTCATTTGCCTTCGTCTCTGCATTGTGGGGAAGTGTAGCTTCATTGCTGACCCTGAGCCTAACCGAGTGTTGCATGTCTGTGCAGCACTAGAGAAGGGTGCAGAGGTTTAACAAAAAGTGTCTGGTGGTTGGTGAGAGAAGGAAAAAAGAAAAACAAAACTTTGAGAGGAGAGAATGAGGACAGAATTAGAAAGAGAGAGTACAGAGTGCACTGAAATTGCCTTGTGAAAAGGTCAGCTTGGATAGGTTCAGCTAGGCTGGAGCTGGTAGTAGTTTTTTTTCTTGGAACTGAGTAAGTTGAAAGGAGGCATAGGTTTTGAATAGAAAGGAAGCAGCAAATATCACAGTATTCACCCCTACAAGGAGAAGTGAGAAAAGGAAACAAAGATTTCAGGTACCATATTTATCAGATTGGGTACATTGCCTGACATAAAAATTGTTTTAGAAATCCTTTTGGGTTAGTAAATATAAAGATATCTTGTTTTTCACATTTTATTCCTTCTTCTAAAATAAAATATTGCAAAATCCAAAGTTTTTCATCCTCACCCCCCAAAAAACTCCAGGGCCAGGAGGAGCTTCTGCCAGTCAGTGTTGGCAGTACTGGATTAGATGGACCTATGGTGTGACTTAATGTGACTTTTTAAATTCTGAAGGTACACACATCTTTCATCATCATCATCTTTAATTACTTATTAATTGCCCTCCAATGCGATTTACATTGCAGAAATTATACAGGATAAAACACATACAGGATAAAACACATACATACAAATATTAAAATTAACATGGGTCAAATGCTCTAGTAAAGAGCCAGGTCTTAAGTGCTAGGATAAAATGCATGGCTCTCAAATAGGGAGGCAAGGAATTCCATAAGGCAGGGGCAGAAATAGAGAAGGCCCTGCGTCTGGTTCATTCCAAGTGCACATCTGATCAGGGATCAGAATGCAAAGTCTGTGTTAGCTTTGCTCTGATACCTTTACTTTGTTAGAGTTATCACTGCCTTTTCTGTAATTTCTGTAATAGGTTATTTTCTGTACAGGGCGGAAATTTTCACAAGTGTTAACAAGATGGAAAATACAAGTGGGAACATTTTGTAGATGTGCACATATAAATCTTGGCTTTGGGTTATCATTTATAATAAAATTACAATCTTGGTTTGCCAAGTTCAGACCTCGTCACAGTCTCCGATCTAGCAGTTATGTACTGATATCATGTGTGACTGTTGCTGTTTTGTTTGCTTAGTGCAAAATCCAGTTTTGGGCGCAAGGTGTGGGCATCAGGACTTTGTTTCCTCCCCTTCTAGGCATCTGGGATAGCCTCCTGCTCCAGAGGCTATCCCAGCCCAGCAGAGCAGGTTGCTAAGGTGAATTGGGGGTTATAAAGGGAGAACCATCCGATACTGAACATACATTATCTTTGTGTAAGGTTCTATGGATTGTTATTTAGTATTTGTGCAAATTGTTTTCAGCAGTATGTGGTATTCTTGGTTTTGCTATGGGTATCTACATTATAATTATACCAAATTAGATCTAAAATAATTCAAGTGTTATTTAAGATAATGTGGTATACAAATAAAATTGTTACTGACAGTATTTTCCTTCATTTAACAGAAGTTGCAGAACTTGAAGCAAATTTACCTTGTAAGTATTAAATTCAACATGATTCCTGAGAAGTAGTAGGACATTCTCCCTGTGTTTGTATCACATGAGTCAGCATAACTTCCTTTTTTAAAATGCACACCATTCAGTAGGTTGAAGACGTAGCGGAGCGCTAGTGGTCTCGTTCGAGAGGCGGGAGTATAAAGTTTTGTCCTGACACAGTTCAGTCGCCATCATGCGTTGGAACAGTGAGGAGCGTGCTTTTGCCATTGAGGCCTACTTTTCGAGTGGATTTGGAGTGGCCGGCCCGCTCTCCAGATTTGGCCCCTTGTGATTTTTTTCTATGGGGTTTTTTGAAATCCCGTGTTTCTGTGAACAGTCCAAGGACCCTACAAGATTTGAAGACCAACATCCAGGAAGAAATTGCCAACATAATGCCTGCTATGCTGGCAAGAGTCATGACAAACGCCAGAAATCGGTTTACTCAGTATGGAGAATGGGGGACATCACCTACCTAATTTGATCTTCAAAGCTACGTAAAACAAAATTTTAGGTATGCGCCTGCATTATAAAAAAAAATCTGATTCATACAATGGGTTTTATTAAGTTTTGAAAAAAGGAAGTTATGCTGCCTCACCCTGTATATATCACATGCAGACTTAAGATATATAGTATAAAGTCAGTTGGAATTTAAGCCATTTCTTGTAAAATTAACTGCCTCTAAGAGAAGATGCCAGCTAAATATCTCCAGTATACAAAGTGTACTATGTGTGGTATGAAGGAAGTAGTGTATATTTTTCTTCACGTTCCAACATATTTATTTTAAATTATGCATACATTACCATGCTTTGTCCATATCTTACATTTTTCATTTGTTTCCTTTTTTGTATGCAGTTTGACATACAAATATATTAAGTCACAACTTTAATATTAAGGGTAGAAGTGTAAATGGAGCTTAGATTTGTTCCATTGAAACCAAATGCTTGACATTGAATGGATCATGCTCTAATTTTGGGGGGAAATGATGCAGGCACCCAGGATTTGTTTAATTTCTTGAATTTTCTGTATCCAAAGTCAATGCATTGCAGAACTGATACAGTTTGACACAACTTCAACTGCCATGATTAATGCGAAGAAGTCATGGGAGTTGTCTTTAGTCTTCATGGGAGTTGTCTTTAGTGCTGATGCCTCCCCAGACTGCAAATCCCATGATTCCATAGCATGAAGCCACGGAGGTTAAAGTGTTTTCAAACTGCATTGATTCTGCAGTGTAGATGTACCCTATTTTGGGATTTATTTAAAGACTATAGTTTGGAAACTATAACTAGTACAGAGTAGTGTGCCAAAGTTGTGAAATGAGACAAGATGGATAGATCACATTCCACCATTCTTATAGCATGACTTCCAAACAGAGTTCTGCTAATATTTAAAGTAATAAAGAACATGTAATCATATACAATAATAACTGTCTTCTTCCATTTGGATATCCTCTACCTGGTTCTTAAGTTTGTCCAGGCACATTTGTGAGTGTCTTGCTCCATGGTATTTTAAAAAATGAAGCTGTCAGTGATCTAGATTCTTTTTTGTTGTGTCTTAACTTCAGACTGTTTTATCTAAGGGTTGAATTGATGTCATTTAAGTATCAGATAAAGAGTATTGTCTGTTTTTTACCACTGCTTTTTATATTGTGAATTCTATCATATGTTTCTTTCTCTTCTATGTGTTTGTACTGGTATTAGTTATATATTGCTTTTTTATGTTGTCATTGTAATTTTAATCCTTACCTTTAAAATGGACAACAGCTCTAAGAAATGTAAATTCCAAATTCGATAAAATTACAAAGTAGACAAATATTTTGGTAATAGAACACTCATGCATGTTAAGAAGCTTTATGCGAGATTGAAGTAAAAAAATCAACAACTGGAGCAATTGGTTTTTGCATTTAGCCGTAATTTACGTATATATTTGTTTGGCAAAAATGAAAGTGGAGGAGCTTTTAATAATACACAAATGACAATATCACCCTCCCTCATACAAAATATTAAACCTTTTTCTTTGGGAAGATGCCCCTCCAGCTAAAGGAACGGTGTGTACAATAATGCTTTCATTCCTTTCTGAAAGAAGCCCACAATTGGGGAAGCATTACAATTTTCTGAAGTTGAGCAATACATTACTTTCATATACCTTATGAGATGAGAGTTCCCCTGTTTCTATTCTTATATTTGATTCCTTTTCTTTTTCTGTGTCTCCACTCAGAAGCATGGCATTTGTCAAGTGATTTCTTTTTCTTTTTTTTTTCAGGTACATGTGAACTGAAGTTTCCCGACCCAAATAAGCTCCATTACTTTCTCCTAACTGTAAATCCAGGTAATATTTTTATTTTTTAAGTATCATCCATACGGACATGATATTCATATACACCGATTGTATGTGTTTTTATGGATGGAAACCGGGCTGAGTCCCTCTTATGAGGTGAGAAGCTCGGTATATAAAACTTTGAAATAAATAAATAAATACACACATGCAAATCCTGCTTGTACGCTTAATTTTGTTTTTGGCATTTTTTTCCTCAAACCTAAACAGAATTCTTGTCAGAACAGAAATACAATTAAATTATCAGTAGGTGAATGCTATGTAACCTAACAAAAGAGCTGGACATATCAGGGCCTAAAATGAATAAGAAAACAAGATATTAACATTTGTATATTTAATTTGAAACCTTTTGCTTATTTATGGAATACCTTGCCAGTTGAAACCCGAACTATCCGAGACCTACTTGCTTTTCGGAAAGCCTGTAAAACCTTTCTCTTCCGACCAGCTTTCGATGGGCGAATAACTCGGGTCTATGTCTGTTCTTGTTTTATTGTATTTTAATGTTAATTATATTGTTTTAATCTACTGCTGTAAACCGCTCCGAGCCAAATTGGGAGTAGCAGTATACAAGTCAGATAAATAAATGAATAAATAAATAAATAAATAAAAGTAAAATAAATAATAAATACAACAAGGTTTGGAGATGATAATATTATAAATAAGAGTATATTTACAATCTTTCATAAACAAGATATATAAAAGTTTAATAAAGAATTATGGAAAAGTTTACTTGAAGGCACACAGCAACAACAAGATACTTAATGTTATCAGAATTTTTTAAAATTCTAGTCTGCTTATCAAAATGCATTTGTAATGACCGTTACTAATGATTACAGTCAACCTTCCAAATCCACAGAATCATCTGTCATATACAGGTTCTTTCAGCTCAGGAAATGATGTCCCATTGAAGTAATAAAGGCTGGTTAAAGAAAATAGAGGAAGGATACTTTGTTCCTATTATTGTCAAAACCGCCATGCATTGCGAGCATCGTATTTTTATAGATAACATAATTTAACAATTTTGTACACTATTTCCCCATTAGTCAAAATGAAGTATAAGTTAGATGTTCTTTTGGTAATCTACCTTCATTGACCATTCTCTTCGCTTTCACATGAATTACTTTGCTCCCATAACAAGTCCCAAAGTCCAGTCTAGACAAGATAGGCTTGTATTCCTAATTAATGAGGTTTGGTCATTCCAGCCTTCTACCAAGCAGTAATTTTTTTAGAAAGCAGCTTCAAACATAACCCATGATCCATATTACATACATGAGCATTAAATTATATAATAGCTAATATATTATTACAGTGTTGTGCAATACAAGTACAAAAATAGATAGCAAATGTATTAAAACATTAAAATACGAAATGCAGTATGAATATGTGGCCATATGTGGCATACATCACAAAAGTATTAAGCATTAAGAGAGTATGGTGCAACCTAAAGATAAGCTCTCAATAGCATCTGTGGCTTGAAAATATTCCAAAAAATCCTGATTTTGCCATTTTATAAGAGGTGCCATTTCACTACCCTGTTGTATATAATGGCAATTGAGCAGGTGTGGGTTTTCCTATCCTTGATGCATGTTGGAACTGAAGTCTACTTTGTACACATTTGATTCTATGTGACTTTTAAAAAGTTGCACAGTTTTTTGATGAAAGCTTTCAAGTGAATTTAGAGAGAAATCTAAATGTTGTATTAGTAAGAACTGCTTTAATTAGAACTATTAATTGCATTTAGCAATTAGTTAGGTTTTGAATTCCTGTTATAGAATCATAGAAGAGACCTCATGGGCCATCCAGTCCAACCTCCTGCCAAGAAGCAGGAATATTGCATTCAAAGCACCCCCGACAGATGGCCATCCAGCCTCTGTTTAAAAGCTTCCAAAGAAGGAGCCTCTACCACACTCCGGGGCAGAGAGTTCCACTGTTGAACGGCTCTCACAGTCAGGAAGTTCTTCCTCATGTTCAGATGGAATCTCCTTTCTTGTAGTTATATAAATGTAGGCACTAGATGGCAGTGCTGGAGCTCGGAAGTGCTGATAAAATTTAGGTGCACTAGAAAACAAGATTTTTTAGGCCAGAGCTTTCCAAATCTTTCACCTTAGTGACACGCTTTTTAGACATGCATCTTTTCACTAAATGGTAATGTAGTTTGGCTAGCAAACCAAAAGTTAAACAAACCATATTATGTGTGTGTGACTGTGTGTAATGTTATGTGTGTGTGTGTGTGTCAGTTTTGTATGGCTTTTACTGTATAAACAAAGTTTGGATTTTTTTTTTGTTTACACTTCTTATGTACTATACCTTATTCTTATGGTGTTTCATCCGCAGCTGCTCCATGTGGTTCATCACAAACATCATTGTCAACTGATACTCTTTTCTTAATTAGAAACTTAGTGGTAATTACTGCAACTCAGTCAACAAATGGTCAAGGTTATAACACCTACACCTGAGCAACAGCAGCATTCCACTTCTAGAATCATAGAATCATAGAATCAAAGAGTTGGAAGAGACCTCATGGGCCATCCAGTCCAACCCCCTGCCAAGAAGCAGGAATATTGCATTCAAATCACCCCTGACAGATGACCATCCAGCCTCTGTTTAAAAGCTTCCAAAGAAGGAGCCTCCACCACACTCCGGGGCAGAGAGTTTCACTGCTGAACGGCTCTGCAGTAATTAGACATCTCTGAAGGTTTTACAATGGAGACTGGATAGCCATCCAGGGGTGCATTGATAGTATGTTCCTACTTAGCTAAGGGGTTGGATTAGATGCACTTTAGGGGTCTCATTGAACTCTAGTAACATATAGACTGCCTGAGAGTCTAGTGGAGTCTCCTTCACTAGACTGAAAAAAAGAGACTCGGAAGCCTCTCAAAAAATATGAACAAATTCCTGTGCACACTATGCATATCTAATAAGATATGTGTAGTGTGCACAGGAATTTGTTCATATTTTTTGAGAGACTTCTGTAGTTCAGGGAAAAACATGTTTAATTGGACATGTGGGCCTGCTTGTGGGGATTGTTATTGCATGCCTTCAAGTCATTTCATACTTAGAGTGACCCTAAGCCTAAAGTGTTGGGCAGAGGCCCAGTACATGATCTTGAAGGGCTGCATCCAGCCCAAAGGCCTTAGTTTGGGGACCCCCACACTAGTGAGTCATGACACACAGTTTGGAAAGCTCTGCTTTCAGCTTTGGTGTTTTTTTCAGTCTTGATTTTTTTTTTCAGGCAGAACAAACAAGTTGTGCGTTTTCCTCATGATTCTAGAACAGTAACTGAAATTTGCCTGCATCACTTCTCGGATCCCTTATCTGCAATGCAGTAGTTTGTTTCCTTTGGTTCTCCAACAAGGAGAACCTGAATGCAAGAGCTCCCCAGGAACCTGTTCCACAGAGGCTTTTCTCGTAAACAACTTGTGATTGTTAATTCCAGTATTCCAAGAGCACATGGCCACACTTAATTTTCAGAAGAAAATAATAACATGATCTCTTGGATGTTTGTTGCATTTTAGCACTTTTTTTATTTTTTGCAGATGAAGGTTATTATCAAAATGGAACATTTCAGTTTGAAATTGAGGTTCCAGATGCCTATAATATGGTGGTAAGTAATTAAAATTGCTTACTACCCAGAAGGTTTTTTGGAGGGGCTTTCCTTTGAAAGGGTTTCAGCTGGATGTTAAACTATTTCTGAATAATGTATGTACAGAAAAGGAAGAATGGCTAATAAATAATACGAGCTACATAGCCATAGTATATGTTGAAAATCTTTTTGTGAATATTTTAAAATTGATATGTAGCCCTATCTAGAACAGATCCACTGAACCAACAGAATGTTTAGACAGATTTCATTTATTTAGCAGGTTTGCTTTGCTGGGGACTAATTATTGGATTTAAGTCTTCTCTTTGGAGTAATGCTAGTGCTGAAAGTCATGCTATTTTGAATGAATGGAGATAATGTGAGAGGGAAAACTGTTTATACTATTCATATCTTCTTATGTCTTCCTTGGGTAAAAGGTGAATGTTGCTAATAGTGTCTCAAGTTGCGTTGTTCAGATTGGATCGTAAGTGTTCCTATTTGGAAATATTTAGACATATTTGCATAACAATAAATCACTTGAGCCTTTTTCTTTAAAAAAAGAAAGTAAAGGAAAAGTTGTAAATAAAGTTTAGCTTTTCACTTCTGGATTTATTGTCAAGTGGCAACCAAAAGCATGTGTTTCTAGTTTGAAATGAAGTGTTCATTCATTTACTTAATCATTTTAAACATGTAATGCAAAGATCCCAGAAGTTAAAAAAGAAATAATGAGAAAGGAGAGAAAAGAGAATTCTGGATTGATTTAGAATTTCATTATGTTCATTAGAGGGCTGTTCATCTCAATATTATTGTACTGAGACACTATGAATGTTGAAGGTGAAATCTTCAGTTCAGGTTATTACACCATCTGTTGTTTTATTTCACGATATTATAATTAGTTTGGGAATCAGAATTGGGAAACTCAGACAAATGTGTTGGTATCTTCGAACTGCTTTACCATAACATTTTTGCAGACTTGTAACTTCAAAATAACCTTTGGGAAATTACTTGTTTTAAGTAATTTATTCCTTTTACTCATTAGTGCTTGAGAGGGAAACTATCACCATTTTATTCATTTATTTATTGTATCAGAAGTGAATTGAGAATACAGTTATAATGTATAAAAAACCACAAAGTTAAAAACTTGGCATTAGACTAAATTTCCTTTGACCACTTGGAGTGCCTCTGGTGTTGCTGTAAGAAGGTCCTCCATTGTGCGTGTGGCAGGGCTCAGACCACATTGTAGTAAGTGGTCAGTGGTTTGCTCTTCTTCGCACTCGCATGCCGTGGATTCCACTTTGTAGCCCCATTTCTTAATGCTGGCTCTGCATCTTGTGGTGCCAGAGCACAGTCTGCTCAACGTCTTCCAAGTCACCCAGTCTTCTGTGTGCCCAGGGGGGAGTTTCTCATCTGGTGTCAGCCATAGATTGAGGTTCCGAGTTTAAGCCTGCCACTTTTGGACTCTCACTTACTGTGGTGTTTCCGCGAGTATCTCTGTAGGTCTTAGGAAGCTGTTTCTTGATATAAGACATTGGCATGCTGGGTGATATCCAAACAGAGGATTGGCCGGAGATTTCAATGCCTTGATCCTTTCATTGCTGGCTGCTACTTCCCGACTGATGTCAGGTGGTGTAATACCTGCTAAACAGTATAATTTCTCCAGTGGTGTGGGGCGTAGGCATCCTGTGATAATGTGGCATGTCTCATTAAGAGCCACATCCACTGTTTTAACATAGTGTAATGCATTCCATACTGGGCATTCGTATTCAGCAGCGGAGTAGCAAAGCGGCAGATGTCGCAGTTACTCATTTCTATGTTTTATAGTAAAATATTGTGTCACGTGTATTGCGGCTTGGTTCCTATAAAGATATAGTATGACCATGACCTTCAAAATGACTAGAAACATTGTTATATCAATATGTCTGGCAGCATTCCTATCTATTATGCTGTTTTTGAAATGTAATTTCACTCATTCCCTTTATGCCAAAAAGTCATTAGTTACAGATTACTGTGTTACTTGTAACTCTTTATTTCCAAGCTCTGTTAAAAATGGCTCACGTTGTTCAGAAATAGCTTTAGATATTGTGATTTTGTTTTCTCTTGCATGAGAATATGTTAACACCCATCTTTCAATATTTAACTCCCCTTTAACACTCCTTTGGCTTCTTCCCAATTCACCTTCTCTCAGTCTTGGCTACAACGAAGAGTTTACAATCTATCTGATTCTTTGGAAGAACAGCGCATTGAGATCAGTGGGTTATCCTCTGTCTGGCACTGTTGGAAGAACAAGAAATTGAAACTGGTGGGCTGTAAGGGGGTTTAAATCGGGCCGGTGTTGTTGGAAGGACAGCAAACCAAGAGAGGAAAATGGGGAGGAAGAGGGATGAGATGCAGATCTCTGGAAACATCTTGGAAAAAACCCATTTGAGATGACTGATGCTTATTTTTGTTCCTGAAAATTTGAGTCCTAGCACAGAAACCTTGCTCTAAAATATCTTTCTGATTAAAAGCCTCATCTGTGCTTAAATTGTACCATTTCAGTGGAGTGTTGTGTGGTTTCTGTACTGTATGGCTGTGTTAGAGTATCATTTTCTCCTAACATTTCGCCTGCATCTGTGGCTGGCATGTTCAGGGGAAACCACAAACCACACACCCTAGTGAGAGCCTTTGACAGTACATTGTACCATTTTAGTTAGAAACCTGTGGTATGATATGTTGTAATTCTCTCATTTTGATTGGAGTATAATCAGCTAAACATTGTTTATTGTAGATTGCTCAGTCTCACAAAGTTATACTCTGATTTCAAACTTGGGCTGAAAGGAAAAGAATTAGATAAATAAATACAGTGTTGATTACTGTATTTGATATCTGTCAGCTCCCTCCTTCATCAGATAGCAAAGGGGACATTTATTGCAGATGAAGAGACTTTACTTTTCTTCCTGATCCTTAGGGCATTCATCCCCCCCTTCCAACCTGACAGCTCCCATTCTGATAAGCGGCCCTGCCATATACTATACTGTGGCACCATAACTGTCATGGACCCTTGCTGGCCAGAGGGGGTCAGGTAAGCTCTGTTTTTAATATATTGCACTTTTTCATTTTTTATTTTATAGCCCAAAGGATATAAAATAATAACTGAATATGTTTTCAGATGTGAAATATATTAAATCAGCATTTAGCTGATCACCTCTCAGCTCATATCATAATTACAATAGCCTTTGCTCTTGGACTCTCCTGAAAAACTGGCAGATACAAAATTCCAAACAGAGAGAAAAAATAAAAAAATAAAAGAATAATAATGGTACCAATGCCAATAATTCTTGTAAGTGTTCTGCGCAGGCCTTCAAGTTCACTTTTTTGCATCAGTGCTGTAACTCTACAGGTTAGCTAAAGCTGAAAATATTGTTATTTTTGTCTTCATACAAGCCAGTCCTCAAATGCAGTCCTATGCATACCTACTTTTGATGCAATCTCCATATCGTCCAGTAGAATCTTTTCTCAGATAAGTGGGTTTCAAATGCAGCCTCATTTCTAAATAGTTCATTGCATATGCTTAGCTCATGATTTTATCAAGAATACTAAGTGGCCCAAGCATAGGAATGGCTATTTCTGGGGCAGGGTTATTTTGAAAGGAGATTCATGCCTAAATGGACACTTTCGGATTTTTAAATGCAGGATACCCTCTGCCCCTGGATCATTTATTTTCCAGGGTTAGGGGAAGTCTTGTTGTAAAATAACTGTTAGGCCTCCTGGCTGATTTCATACCAGAGGTATTCTTTCCAGCAAAGCAAGAAGGTTTGAAACGAGTGGTAAGAGAAGAGCTGCATACAATTCCTGCGATCCTTTGGAGTAGCTGGCTGCCAGTAATTTAGCATCTCTATACTATAATCAACTTTAATTAAATAACAGTAAAACCATAGTTTCTCATGATACACACAATCAATCATTTTGCTATATTCTATAAATTGAAATAATTATTTTCTGAAATTCTTTGGTGTGTTGTATTATCTACTATATGCTTGCAGTACGTTCACTAGTGCCTCTTGCTTTTATGCACCCAGCTTATACATCTGGCCTTCCTTACTCGGTGATAAAAAATGTTGAATACTGCCTTATTTCATGGGAGGGGTAATACATTATTTCAATGGTTTCTATAATCCCTATGTCCTCTTTCTTGAGGATTGAAATGGATACCAAATATCTTAAATTGAAGCAATATCATTTTGGATTTTTTTCCTATTTATTGGCAGCTTTTTGGTAGAATTTGAGTAGATTCTATCAAATATGCCATCTGTTTCTTGGGAAATACTTTTGTCAAGTGCTTCGACAGCATCTTCCACTTGCCTTTCTAAAACTCCTTGACAACATGTTCCTCCTTGAATGACTGTCACCTGTCTGTTTCATTGTTGTTATAGCAGTTCTCTTTGTCCCTGCATACAAATCAATGAACAGTTGCACTCAGGTTATTGGCCATTTTTTTTCAACTTTATTTCTCATCTAACGTTAACTATGTGAATAACATTATCATCAGTCCTCTAATGAGACATTCTTACTTTCCTACTTTTAGTTGCTGTATTTATTTTTATTTTATTTTTTGCATTCATCTTGACAATTTTTCTGATTTCAGTCCAGATTTCTTACGGTTCCCTGTCAATTAGGCACAGTAGCACAATCTGTTCTTTACCTGGTTTTTAAATATTACAGGAATGTTCTTCAGATTGTATTTTGGCACTGTAGTTGATTTAGTATACTTATATAGTTTTTTCTAATTTTTGAAATTAGCAGTTCATGGTCTTTGCCGTAATGAATCAAAACCACAGCAAATACAATAAAAGAGACTAGCAGGAGAGCCTTTCCTTTTAAGATACTTTTTCTATTTAAAATTTCATACACAGGGACCAGGAGGATTCTTTTTTTTTTTTTCTTGTTCAAACAATATATTTTAATACGGCGTTACAAAACAATGATTGAGTTCTCTCTGGTGCAAAAGTAATTTGCAGGTGGCATGTTCTAAGAAGCATGAATTG